CTTTGGCTTCTTGGAGGATGGGAGGATTAAAAATGAGAGGGATCTTTGGGCTAGCAACCATGACAGTCCTGCCAGCTAGCTCAGTGGGAAAGTGATGTATACGGTGTGGGCTTCCAAGAAACTGGACAAATGGGAAACCACGTTGGGCTTGCTCAGCCTTCAGTTTTACCGTGGAAGTGGCAGATTCCTGACAATAAATGCCAGTGAGTTGGTGGAACGCTGAACTTGCAGTGAATCACTAAAGCCTCACAGCCCTGAAGAGCTCGCTGTCACAAGTTATTTCCCTAAGTGTACTGTTTTATAAATCCAGTGTAATTCATTGGCATATATAGACTGCTTCTGTAGCACTGAAGAAAGGAAAGAAATATAAATACTAATAAATCATAGATGATAGAGGTAGAAAGTGACCTCAAGCAGTTCTTCCACAATCCCGAGGCAGGGGCAATTCTCCAAAGTGAGCGACTGCCTCACCGAAAGGCTCCAGGTTTGGGGTATTTTCTCCGTACATATAATGTGTCTAATTATCTTCATAGCCTTAACAGTTAAAAGCTGCCATTTAAGCCTAATATTTCTTGCCTTATCCTCACAAGGCAGAGAGAACAGGTTTTCCCCTTTGTCCTTGTTGTTCCTGAAAAGGCAGACCCAAGGGAAGCGTGACACTGAGCGCTTTTTAATATGCTTTTTTCCCCCATAATTCACAAAGAGTTTAAAAATAAAAAAACACAACCAAAACCAAACACACAGGTGCACAAAACATGTTTTGAGAATGCATATTTTATTCTTCTAGTTAATGGATACAATTACTTTTAAAATGCAGCTTTTTAAAAAGTAAAAAACTTCCCAATTTAATACCTGACATGCAAAGACAGAATAGTAACACTCAAAATGCATACAAAAATATCACTTCTTCATTCTACTGGAAAGAGATAAGCGCACTGGGTTGCATTACTTACAAATGTTTGAATTAGTACAAAATTGTAGAGAATTTTTGCTTCATTGCAAAATCCATTATTTTGGTATCCTTCATTTTGATGGATACATAGAAAATTAAGCAGCACATACCCTCTGACCCACTGAGAAAGGTATTTGAATGCCTTCTGCACGTTGCCTCTTACCGTTCTGTGTAAATGTAGGCTTTGTGTGAAATGCTATTTTTCAGGAAAAGTGGGAATTTTTTTTGTGCCAGTTAAATTAAAAACAAACACAAAGGTGCCTGGAAGAAATACTCAGGCCAAGAATAAGTGCATTACATCACATTTTATCACAGTTAATTCCAGCTGGAATGTCATATTTGGGAAGGAGACTGAAGACTTCAATATTTAATTGCTTTTTGTAAATACCTGTATGGACAAGAACTGGAGAAGGTTCAAAAGGTAATGTAAGCCCACATCTCTGACAAGTAAGATTCTACACTCATTCTACACAGTGCAAGTATTCTCTTGAGTTAAAAAAAAAATCCACTATCATTTTCTATGCCATCTTTTCCATAGTATGTGTTGTGCATATAAAGAATTAGCTGAAAGCTCACTCATCAGTCCCAGGTAGAATGTTTTACTTCTGCTTTTTACATAAAATGTACATCCGTCTTAAAAAAGCAGTACAGCTTCTGAAAAAAGTGTTACTGGCCTCGTCCTTCTGTTCCTGGCCTTGTGCACTGGCAGCAGAGGTTTATGTTCAGGTTAATGTAAGCTGCAGCCACGGCCCGATGGGAAAGTTCTGTCGGTAACACTGGCAAAAATGCCAACCTCCGGCATCAGGCTGGTGAACGAATGGAAAGGGGGAGAATGAGGACAGGTCACGTGAGAGGCATGAATTGCCAAATCACAGCCCGAGCCCGAGCATTAGTGTCAGTAAAATTAGTATTTCCACCTTGGGAGGTGCATGTCAGCCTGGTTTGCCACTTAAACCCCTGCCTTGCTCTCAGCGTACGGAGATGCCAACGGGACACACAAATAGCCCGTGTCAGTTTGTAAATACAAACCACCGGTTTTTGCTGGCTTGGGCTGGAACATCAGTAACATCTGCGTTCAGCCTGTATGGCATCTGAAGTGAGAAACTTCACTGGCTGTCATGAGGACTGAAGGTTTTGCCTTAACTAGAGAACAAGCACATCAGCCTGGTGCTGCTGCCTACTATGTAAGAAACTGTCCAGCTTACTGAAGGTTACAGATTTTTTTCACTGATTTTGATGGAGTTCACTCAGGTCCTTAGGACAGAATAATGTATTTTGTGCTTGGCTTTTCACCTGAGATTTTCTGCTAACATTACTTGCAGCAAAAATACCTCTGCAGTGTAATACAGGAAAATTTCACTGGTGTAATCAATTAAGACTTAAACTTGTGAACATACTGAAGCTTATTAGCCCCCATTGAGAAACTTAAAGGGGTTTTATACTTGGACATTTCTTATACTTTTGTTATTATCTGTTCCCTCACCATGCAGGGGTGTTTTTTCCATTTAAAGAAATTAACGTAGTGCTAAAACAATTAAGGTAGCAGTCTGTTTTCCATCAAAACACACTTCTTCTTTAGGAAGAGTAAAAACGTTGATTTCCTGCATATCTATTTTATATAGTTCCAAAGTAAGAATTAAAGTTTTGCAGGTCAAATCCTTTATGTTTTGTAAATTATTGCACTTTTGCATTATGGACTCTCAAATGTAAAAGAACAGCAGCAGTTTGATGCAGAATATTAAAAGAAAAATTATGCTATATAAAAATATAACTGTTCATTAAACTAAATAAATTCCTATATTCCATTTAAAAAACCCAACAAACCTCTATACTAGGTCAAGTTCTGACTTTCTTACTTCCACTCAGTAGCAGCCTGTTCTACAGATCCATTAAGTACTTGGGGACGAAGGTATTTTGTTAATCTCATTTATGTTATGCTCTGCTTTTTGATGAAAGATACGTAACCTAGGCAAAAGGCTCTTCTGTATATACCTCGTTTTAAGGGCAATCATTAATAGTAGCACATGATTTGCTACAATGGGATTAGTACAAAACTAAAGAACCCATACCCAAAGGTGTTTTCTATCGAAACTTAGCCTAAAGTTTTATAGAAGTTCAGTGCAGTTTTCTCTTCACGTGAATATTTCACCTGGCACCCATTTCAGTTATCTAACAATGTGCAGCAATTTAAGGCATTGCTTGGAAAAAACGATCCAGATACATTTTTCAAGACCTGTCAGCATGCCTGCTCACACTAAATTTCTAAAATTGCAAAGCCTTAGCTAGCTAGAACTCCTGCCCTCTCGCTAGGCACGGTACAAGTACAGAACAAAAGGATGGTCAGCCAAACATTTTGGCCTCTTCAGCTCCCCTGGGCAGATCACGAAGCAGCTTTTCGTCCTGTATGTGCTGATGAAACGGTGTAACGCACCTTCTGCCTCACTAGTCCCAGAAGCGAGTAGATCTTTTGTAACAGTCTTCTTATTTATTTTTTATCAATATAATCATATTGGAAAGTGCTTGCTGAATCAAGATCCAGATTTCCGGGATAACACTAGCTAAAATTTGGAGATTTCTAGAGATCCATATCATTCAGACAAACAATCAGGGTTTGTTATTCAAGTGCAAAGATTGGTTTCATTGCAGAAAATGCTTATATAGTACCGGTGCGTAAATATTGCAGTGAGTTCACAGGTAAGACACTACCAGCAGTCCATCTTCATGAAGCAAGTCTCCGCATAGCCTAGTGAAATGATTTGCAAAAGGAGGAGAGAAACAGGCCATGGTTAGGAAAAATAAAATGTTGGTGTGTGTGTCCAGTAAAAACTACCAAGTTCAACTTGGTCTCAGTGAAAATACAAAGAAGATAACTGTTCGAGGTGGTGTCCCTCTGACTTGCATTGCACAATTCAGTCAGGAAGCCACAGGTCTGAAGGTTGCTGGCGCTCACCTTCAAAATGTGGCTGTAGAGGACAGAAACCTCTCAAAACACTGTTTGACCTTGGATCAGCAGTTTTGTGTCTGACTTCTTGCTTAATAATATAAGTATTTAAGCAATCTCATGAATAGAAATCGAAATTCAAATCTTTTTGGCCTGCCATTCCCACATGCTTCTGTTACAGAATCTAGCGGCTTTTCTAGCTGTTTTAATCCTGTATTCCTTTCTGCACTGTGACTTACAGAGGAGCGGAAAGTGCTTCTTCCCATATTAGTTATAAAGAATAGTATCTGCAATATTCATACCAACCAAAAAAGGAGAGGGTGAATCATGAGCACCACGTATCACAATCTACTTACCAAGCCCTGATGAAGTTTGAGAGGCTTTTGCTTAGGGTTTTGGTTTCTCCTCTCACCAAGCTGCCTTCCAAGCTGCCCTTACCTCTTCCTTCACTCTATATTAGAAACTACAATGCAGGGTGATGCTGAGAGCCTCCACCCAGCCTCAACCTCCCTTCTGACTTCTCTCCAGGGACTTCTACGTCCCCACGTGCAGAGCAGCTGTGCTGCGGCATTTTGCTCAAACATGACCAGGAGAAGGGTCACAGCATCCCTGCTTGAGCAGAGGCCAAGGACACGGCACTACCCCATTTTAGACAGGGTATTAAGAAGAGTGTTCCAACTACTACCATTATAGGAGGGACACATAACAACAGTGTCTTTACCTGCGAGGAGTGTTATAATACTTTCAAGGTGATGATGCATCACTAGTTTAATTAATCTCAGACAATAAAAAAGCATTTAGCCCAATCTCCTGTTCTCCGAATAAGTGACCTGTGTGCTGCACCGTTATTTAAGCAGTAAGTGCAACTTTCTTGTCTGGCAGTGTTCTGTAAATACAAAATACCCTAGTATTGCTTTAATGGACTTGTGTTGCTGCATGTTACATTCAGAATGCTCCTTTGCTGCAGCCTCCTGTAAAACGTTCAGATTGTGCAGAAGTTGTTCAAAGGAGGAATGAAGGGAACTGACAGTAATTTTGGACTTGGGTGCCTTGAGCCTTACTAAGTCTTCTCCTAGGCACCTAACTCATGCCTGTGTAAGGTGAAAGTAGTCCTAAAGCAACAGACATCAGGAGGTGCGTGTGCACATACAATCTCCTACATCTCCAAAAGACCCTGACTTCCTCCACTAAGTACTGACATCCAGGTGCCCAAGGAGGGGATTTATTTATGGAGAAGGAAAAGGTTGAGGGCTCAGTTCACTCACCCTACTCTCACAGCATGACTCAATGTTACAGGCAAAGGAATAAAGCCAGCAGTATTCTGTAAGTAATAGACACATTCAGTTCTAAAGTGCGTACCTCTTCCTGAACATCAAGTTCATCATCAGGACGGCTTGTTTCTGTGAATTCTATGGGTTCTTTAGACTCCTGCATGAGTGAAATCTTGGTAGAAAGAAATTAAGAAACACAATGAGTTACACATTGTCTGTATCATCGAACTTGATTTATTACTCTCAAGGTCCTTAATATAACTTCTGCAACTGACAAGACTCCGTTGTTTACTGTTCCTTGACAAAGCTGTTGCTTTAGTTCATCTGAGATAAACTTAACACGTCAGAAAGCTTTTGGTCCCGCTTCTCCTTATATGACAAGTTATGGCTTTATAAAAATAGTAAAAGCAGAATCGTTTTCTTAAGTGCTGTATGCTTTGTCAAAATGTTAATCTCTACTACAAGACAGGACAAAACTTCTACATCCTGGATAGCAAGCAAAAATTACAAAAAAAATAAGGGCTCCATCCTAGTTATTTAACAGTAACACTCAATTACTCTTTATTCATAACACTCTTAATAGTGATTGCTATGGAAGGAATTGTGGTGAAAAGATAGGAGAACAGTATAAGGCCATTTTCCTGATATATGCCCACATCTTTAAACAATACAGAGTGTTCTGGCTACCTCAAAACCCACAGAATACAAATAGCAAATGCACAGAGAAGGGCAACAAGAACGAACACAAGTGTGGAACAGTTTCCATGCATGCTGACACCAAGCAGAATGGGACTCCTCAGCTTTTATCAGAAGTATATGAAATTATTAATAGTGTGGGGAAAGAGAGCAGGGAATGATTATTCATTGCAGATAACAGTTCAAAAATCCAACAGGATCAAAACACACTTAAAATTACAGGACCCATCATCACAGCATAGTGTCAAGCTGAAACCTCTTGACGCATCGAAGAAGACTCCATCTGTGACAATTAAATATAATGGTCCAAATGCAGCCTCCAGCTGAGGAAGTTCTTAAGCTGCCAGTTGTCAGAAACTAGAAAGTGTGTTTTAGGATGAATTTTTTTCCATGTGTCCTGTTTCTCCTATTCTTCTCACTAACAAGATCCTGGGGTCAACAGATCGTTCATTTGATCTGGCAAAATATTTATGCACTACAGAAGCTGTTCAATATACTAGACTATCACTCAGTTTGTACCACAGCTCTATGTTTAGTTTTTGAACGTGCCATGCTGTAATGGAAATGGCAAGAATTAATGCTAGATGACAGAACGAAGGAAGAAAGTACTACTGGATATCGTTACCTTCTCAAAAATGGGATCCTGGTTGTCACTGTATGTCATTTGATTCCTTATGTAGAGCACAGCATCATGGACAGTCAAGAAGAATATGTCTTTTCTGACAATATCATCAAAGAAAGCAGTCCGCTCCAGTTGAGATATAAGGTTGTCTGAATAAAAGAAAGTCATAACAGGTTAATATGATTTGAAGTAATTTGAGAAATAAATGTTGAAATACATGGTTGCAACTATCAGAAACCAAACATACAGCAAAATCAATCAATCAAGCTCTGTCTTGACTTTTACTTTCCATATTTCCTTTAAACCCCACCACTCTTTGTGTCCCACTGCAGCCCATCATGTTTATTAGGTGATTATTCACATTTTTATTTGACCAAATGCTCCCACAGACACACCTAGAGATCCCTTTATCCTCATTTTATTCTTTGCATGAGTGGTAGTAGAAATATTTGAATGTTTACCTTGATATGAAGCAAAGTATACTCTCACATCAATTCTCTCAAACTCTCTAATTATCTAAAAAAATAAAAGTTTGCAACAAGGACATAAATAAAGTCTGCAAGGAGAAAGTGCATATCTGTATATATGTCTATATATGTAATGCATAGGCATACACACACACACACTTCATTTGTTTCTGAGTGTCTTCATTCCAAATTTTATGTTTTGTTTACTCATCAGAAATAAGGAATTGCTACACTTTGCTATACGTAAAGATCCAGTAGTTAAGCATCCGGTTGGCGAAGTGGCCTATCTCCAGCTACGTAAACAGAACTATCAATTTTACCCATACATATGTTCATGCCTATTAAGATTCTCACTCAATTCTCACAGTATGAATTATCACGTCTCTTCAAAGAGAACCACATGTGATATGACAAAATCTTTCAGTGGCACATGTAGATTTTTTTACATAGATTTTTTCCTCATGCAGGGTACCAGATGGACCCGTTCTCAGATGAAAAAGCTGCATATGGGAAGAGTCGTGTGCGAACCCCATCTCTCTTTTGTGTCAGGAAGCCAGAACTGAATTGAAACTAGGCAGACAGCTGAAGCGAGGCTCATGGCGTTCTCGTATTTCAGTTAGTTAAACAGTGGGAGACTGGAATCTACTCCTGGCTCCCTGGTAGCAGGCAAGATTCTTAGGACAGGATTTTCAGAGGTGATTGCTCATTCCATTCTCTTCTGTTCATTGATAAACTAGAGTCTTGGTAATCTAAGATGTGGTTTATAAATTACTTAAGAAGTCCCAAATGCAAAATGAAGTTAGTGAAAGCAGCAATCTGAACATACGAAGTATCATAAAAGACTGAAAACCAAACATACGCTCTTGTGACGGGGCACCATAAAATAATGGAAATACTTGGCCTTAATCTCTTCACCTCATTTCCCTCTCCCTAAACTAGAAATATTATCTCCTTAGTACATAGCATGATGTCTGAAGATAAATTAATTAATGTTGATGAAGCACTCTGATAGCGCCACAGAAAACCCTATAAAAAAAATAAATCATTCTTCCTCTGTAATTTAAATAATATGGGATGAATAAAATAAACTTGTGGCTAAAAACTGAAAGGATGGTAAGACAAAATTTTTACTACCTCTGTGTTGAGTAAGCATCATCCTGTGCCCAGATTAAAGCAGGAGGCATATGGAAAGAAAATATATAACTAAAGTATTTCATAACATACACGTACAAGGGGACCACATCTCATTTTTCAGTTCTAATTTTAGAGTACTTGACCATGCAACCATCATATTGTTCTTTTAATGCATTTTTTTATTTTTTCCCCACCTAAAATACGCACACTCCAATATTCTGCCAATATTCTACCAATATTCCAATATTCTATTCTTGCTGTATAAATTTTAAAGGTGTTTTTCAACAACAGACTTTTAAAAACTCAGAAATCAACTTCAGCCAACAGCTCTTGATTTACATACTACTGACTAGTTTCATTTTCATGGAACACCAGAAAAAAAAAGTCCTTACCGTTTTTATGGATCTCACAGCTACAATATCCAAGAAGGTTACTGCTCCAAAATCAAGAATGAGACTGTGGATGGGCACCTTGGGGATGTTTACTTTGACTGGGAGCTCTGAATTCCAGTCCACCTGGATCTCTACTTCTTTGGTGGGAACTTGAAGATCTTCAGTGTCTTCAGGTTCCTCGTCAGTCTCAAAAGCTTCATTACTAATACCAGGCTCACTGATGATGCCATTCTAACATGGAGATAATATATGGAATATAACATTTAATCATGGAGAATTTTGGAGTTACAAGAAATACTTCCCTCTGATAACTTTAATGTCAGGAGTTAACAAGACTGATACTTGTGACGAGTATGCCCTCCCTGCTCCCGATGCCTGGTAACATAGCTCCCATAACTAACACCATTTTGTAAGGCAAGCAGCCATTCTCTGTGACTGAGCAGGTCACATATTTGTTCCCTTTCCCCTCATTCTCAGGCCTCGAGGGTCCTGTGAACCAAGCAGGCACGCCAAACAGATTTTTAATTCCCCTCCCTGTCATTCTCGAGATTCCTGGGTTCCACGCTGATTACTCCCTTCCTTGCCTCCTTGAAGGTGCCAGGCACCCAGCCAACCAGGTGGCTCATGGAACAGGGAACAGTAACGGTGCACAGAATGCCATCCGAAGATCAAGCAGTTACAAGTCCTAAGTGGAGAACTTGGACAAGAACTGCTGCTGGACAGCGCGACCTGTGACCCCCTACCCTGACTCAGTGGTCACTGTTGTTTGCTTCCTCTGGACTAGGTGAGTGACTTGTCTTCTTTTATATGATTTTTGATTATGATTATTATATATGTACAGCGAATCATATATTAAGATCTGACCCAATCTGCAGAGGGTCCAGGTGGTTAAAACCCATAAATTAAGTTCGGGTCTAGGCGATTAGAAATTATAAGTCAAGTTGTATTATGCTACTTATAAATTGCACTACATTGATTCTGTTCCTAGAAATCCTGTGCCATTCTAAGCACAAAATCCATGCTATACTCATAATAAAGTCCTGTTATGAAAAATAAAACTTTAGTTCTAACTAGAGTTTAGTGCCATCACCATTCTGCCAAGGATCTCTAGGAGAATCTGTGTGTCCCCTTAGTGTTGGGTAACAATATGGCATTCAAGAATTTAAAGAAAAACAAGATAAGAGCCCATAATTACCTCCTCCTCTGTGCAGTGTATTTCATTTCCTCTTTTTTTCTTTTTTAAAAGAGCATCTTCCTGCAAAAAGGCCACTATCTAGAAAAATAAATACCTCAGAGCTACTTCCTCCCTCAATAGCTTTATTACTAGGAGATACTTAAGACCGGTATTTTCAGCTTTGATTTAGATTTGCTCTATATGGTAAAATGACTAGGTCAAGAACTGGAATGTCACCTAACTGAGCATTTAACTGCATCGTAAACTGTAACATACACAGGAAATACTGCATCCTGCACTGAGAGCAGTAACGGGAAACCCCTTTCTAACTTCTAGCTGTGGAGATTTAAGAGGTTGCCTGTACCTGCCCGCTCCTGTAAGCACATACTTATTGAACTGAACATTCCATGGTCAGAGGAACACACACTGCTTTCTTTAAAGAGGATGTGGGAGGCTACATCCAGCAGCCACCTGGCACAGCTGCCCTGTGCGCAGGAAGGTGGATGACAGGAGCACGTACACATGAAGGAGCCAGCACTTTCACTGCACAGAGACAATCTGAAGTGGCGAGGGCAGACATAGGATCAGGGAATCTCTTGCTTCCGCTCCTGTTAACGCTATGAATGTCGCAGCTGCCTGAACCTGTGGGGTCTTTGGCAATAGGTGTACTGCTCTGCCAAGTCACCTGCCGGTCCCAGACTTCCTACCACAGTAGGAAGTCATGCTTTTCCAACTTTATTTTAAAGATGAGTACCAAGGAACTCAAAATTAAGGCTAAAGTAATAAGCTCTAACAGCAATCCTTTGAGAAATAAACAGAAAAAAAGAAATGGGTTTACCTTAGTAGCTTTTAATTTCCCCTTCTTGATTAGCTTTTGTATCTTCCTCAGTGCTTTGAGTCTTTTATTATATACCTTGACTGCATCAAATCCAACCTACAGAAAATCGAAATTATTTAATTTTACCTAGATATAATTCTGCGGAAATCTCAAAGACAGTTTAAAAAGCATCCAAAACCATCACATATCACTTACTGTGGATTTCAGGCTGCTTTTCAGTCCATCAATATTAGCATAAAAAATGGGACTTGAAAACTTGAGAATCTTCACACCTTCTGGTTCTATAACCTGTTGCCAAAGAATATAAGGTTAAGCAACAACAACCATATTTTGGCTAAAAAGAAGCAGTTTAACTGTTTCAACAGTTCAACTATGCATCTAATTCACAAAAAAATGGTGTATCTTTGCTGATAGTTAAGGAGATGCAGTTTTTAGAAGCTTACAGCCCAAGCATACAACATGGAACAATCATCTGGATCAAGATGAAGAACTTAATGCTGAAACTTGTTATCTTTGAGAACACCCCTTCCAAATTCAAGTCATCCACAATATGTAAGGCATAGCTTTGTCTTACATTGGCTTGTAGGCTGAAGGGAAACAAGTCAGCAATGACTTACATTTTTGTAGTCCTTGACCTTCTTGTAGATATCTGTGCCAGGAATGTTTCCAAAGCCACCCCACGAAGGACTAACAGAAACCAAAAGAAGGTAAAAGAAGGTAAACATCATGCTTGCACATTTGAAGAACTGAAGGGATTGCTGCCTATAATTGTCATAGACTCTTGTAGTCTGCTCTTTTCTGCCAAACTAAGAGCCTCATTGCAAAAATACTCAATCTGTTTTGTGTCGCTGTGCAAGAGTCTTTTTCCAATTTGTAGTGTCCTTTTTTTAAAGTCAAGGCATTTTGGTCTCAGCCTTCCTGCTGCACCATTTTTATGTAGAGCTAAATTAATAACTTGTTCCGTTTGTTTCCCAAATGAGAAAAATGTTTTAAAAGCAGATTAGTTTGGCTTGAATGAAAAAACAATTTTTGACTGAAAATTGATCCTTTTTTTTCATTTCAGATCAACTAAAGCAGTACAATTACGTTCTTTCCAGATTACTTAAAACTTTTTGTTCAACCCTTTTAATTTTTATTTCAATCAGTAACGACCCCAAATATCTTGCAGTATATCTTTGTAACAGTCAAAGCAGATTGTTTTTAAGTTTTAAAGTTCCACCTCCCTTTTATATTTTGATTTCACGAATCTGAATTGAATTTGGAGATGTTTTTTGAGGATCTCAAATTCCATTTTGTAGAATCTACTATTCTGACAGTGCAACTATCCTTGGGTATTGGTAGTAACAATATGCTCTGGACTCCAGGCTGAAAGAAAGGAATTATGTTGTATTTGCAGAGAAATAATCACTAAAACGTAACAGGGTGGCCAAAGAAGATTCTGCAAAGCCACATTTTCTAACCATTCCACTACCATATGCTCTTTGAGCAGCAACAAATCAGCCGCAAGCATGTAATTTTGTCTTATTTTCATGCTTTCTCTTCCTCTCCTTTCACAGGCATACGTTCAGTATTGTGTAAGCAATAAGTGAAAAGGTTATTGGCACATACAACACACTGTAGTAGTATTACACGCTCAGAGCCGCTATAATGATCAATTAATTACAGAAGCCATTCATACATCTTTTTATATTTGACCTGGAATATTCCTGTCCCTTTCCAGAACTCAGCTATGTGGGTGCATAAATAACTTATGGCTAAGTACCACCAGAGTACCTAACATGATATAGATTAAATACTGATAAAATAATGCAGCTTCTCTTTTGTCAGTATAATTAAATGATAGCACACAAACACTGCTTTGTTCTAAAGAGCAGATTTTTTTCCATTTCAAAACTTTTGTAAACACAAGCAGATTTTCTGCCACAAATCGTCTTGCTTTTCAGCATATTGTCTTCCTTTCTCATGGTATAACACTATTTTTGATGCTGTGTTACTTACAACTGAACTCTCAGCACAACTGTCAGCAGTCCAAACAAAAGGCCAGCAAGTAATCCCAAATCGAGTCCCAGAATGATGGATGCTACACATGTAAAAATCCAGATCATCTGGAGAGGAAATAACAAAGGTAAAGTCTCTTAATTATAACCAGACTAAACAATGTGAGTAGAAGAAGATCATAGCACGCCGACAGCTGACTTTGATAAAAAAATCTTCCTCCAAGATGCTTCTATGCATCACGATCTTACTAGGTATAGATAGCTTTTTAGGAAGTAAGTTTGGGGTTTTTTAACAGAAGAGGATTCAAGGATTCAGTTACTCTGGTGAAATTAAAGGGGATGCACTGTTAACACTGTTGCATTTTCTTCTTTCTGATGGTGGCAGTCTTTGTAAATCTTTCTTTAGAATTTGGGAAGAATTTATTTTCCCAAGATGTAAAACACTGTAAGATGCCCCACTTGCAGATACAGAGAGGGAAGAGGATTCCTCAGTGATGTCTGAGAAGCAGAATAATTCTGAAGAGGATATTTCATATGAACAGGTTGCTGGCACTCTCTGAAATCTCCACTGATTATTCAGGCAGAACAGTTGAAGTGGGCTCCTCAGTTCCGCTCTACATCACTGCCGAGGCAGAACACCCATGGACTCAATCATACAGAAAGCTGAGTGCCTGCACTTCTCACTGAAGTCAGGGGGTCTTTTCCTTATACAGAGGACTAGTAAATGATTGACCAAAAATTTTCAGATCTACTTAAGGCAGGTAGTGCCCAGTGCACACATTGTAAAATCTATGCATAGTAAGGACTGCATGGAGAAAATATTTTCCATGCAATCTTCTCCTGTCCTAACAGCCACACTGAAGGTGTATTCCACAGAAAATACAGTGTGAGATGTGAGCAAGTACCCTGAGATATGGTTTTCGTTGTTTGTAAGAAAAGTCTGTTCATCTATCCCTTAGTGTGCCAAACAAACACACATTCTACCTTAGATTAGTCTTGCCACAACAAGAAAACGTGTTTCCTGTGGACCGCCTGAGATTACTCAGGCAACTGGGATGCTAAAGCGGCAACAGCATAAATATGTGCACATGAATTAAGAAAACGTCAACTTTTCTGACCTGTTCTGACCCGTTTAAACTGTGCAAAAGATAAAAGCAGAATGGTGAAGGTAGCAACAGGCCATCTTTATTCTGATTTTCAAGCCACCTCCACACAAGATTGCTGTAAACTATAATAATTGCTGTGAAGGAGTCATCACTACACAGGAGCAACCCAACTGCCCTTACAATGGGGTATAGAAAATAAAGAAAATAAGCAGAATACTATGTAAAACTCTCAACTGGAGATTTTTTAACTGGCACTTGCATTTTGAGGACTCACATAAAAGTTTTCTGATGTTAACTCTTAACAAATTCTGTTTACGTGGTAGTTAAGAGAAACTTGAATGGCAGTAAAAGATAAGAAGAAAACCAGACAAAAACATGCAGGAGAAGAGAAGAAAATAGTTTACTTACAGCATCCACTTTATTCTGTTTCCACAGACGGGGAACATCAAACACTTGCATGAACATCCCTTTCAAGTTAGCTATGACTACAGCTGCCAACACCGACTGCAAAGAAAAATTATGACAAAGTGTTATTTGGAAGCAAAGATACATATTAAGATAGTGCTTCACATCATACATTACAAACCAGAGCCTTGTCTGGTACCAGTCACTATAGTTTAAACAAGGCTATTAGTCCTGCCCATCAAAGCTGAGCAAATGCATCGGATTGGTGCTGGTGGCTGTGCTGCAGAGGACAAGTACAGTACCTTTTGTAAGGGTTCTAGTAATTTCCCCAGGGCAACAATGGAAATCAGAACAATCCCAGCTGAGATTATACCAGCAACCTGTGAAGAACAGAGGGTTTACAGGAAATGAATTTATTAGGGCTCTTTCTTATGTTTCCAGGATTACAAAGAGAAACGTATGAGCAGCTGCACGTTACATTTCTTTAGGAACAAGGAGACCTGCCAAAATGCTATTGTGTTTAGGCATACGTGGACAATCATTACACGCTTCACCTAACACAGAAGGAATTCAATTAAGCAGGTAGCATAAACAACTGCACACAAGGTAGTAGCTCTTGGAGGGGTTACCTTGCGTAGAAAGGAACAGAGCCTGTGTGTCAGCTGGAAAAGGGGCTGCTGGGCAACCTGTAGTTCTCCACTGCTAAAAACTGCAGAGCTGCAGTTGTGTAAAACAGAACAGCTTACTCAGAAAGATGGCACATAGTCAGGTGATGAATGGCAAGTGGCAGGGCAGCTCAGGCCAGCACATGGGAGCTTAAATAGGCAGGTGTGAGAGGATTTCCTTCCTCAGCCCGTATTCCTACTGTGACAAACTCAGTCCCTTAATTGGGAATGAATTTCTGGGGAACTCGGCTTGAAAGATTTCTGACCCTTAATGTAACTCATGCTATGTAAAACTTGATTGCCCTCTTCTGGCAGAGCTACAAAAACTACCAGAGCACAAGCTGCTAGCTGAGCTTGCTAGCAATGCCATCATTTTAGGACTATTTTCATCCTATTGTGAAAGCAGTGCCCTGGACAAGATTAAATTTACCCTAGCATGGTTCTAATAAGAAGAGGGCATTACCTGAGTCTTTCCACCAGTACTTTCTTGGACTGCAGTCCGTGAAAGAGCAGTAGTTGCAACAAAGCAAGAAAAGGCACCTGAAAAAATGTTGCTGATCCCAAAGGCAATAAATTCCTGAAAGATAGTTGGGTGATGCTGTAAATACAGATTCCTGAAGACAGTTTTGCAGTGGAGAATGACAATAGCTGCTGCAGTAGTTTATAAAGTAGGTAGCACAATAATACTGGGAAGATGGATTAGTAATAGCTGTTAGAAGTTTACACAAGTTCCTCTTGTGCCAGTAGAACTATACACTGAAGTTGGTGTACTCTCCCTGGCATGGACATACTCATCTGAGTATAAAGACATTTAAAGCTTATCTCTGTCAATGCTGTCAAACCTTATATTCTTAACAGTTACACTGGTATAATCACATCAAGAAATGGGACTAGTATAAATTTAACTCCCAAGTATCACCAGCTAAACAAATAATTTTCATCAGTACAACAGCCTGAGTTTAGACGAGCCTCTAATTAATGCAAAACGTTGTATTATTAGTAGAACTAATCAGGGGCTATACAATAAAACCCAGTTTCACTGAAAACTTCTAGTTTGTTGAGCCAGAAGTTTTTCACGATGAACATCCCAATGAACTCACGCTAAGGCCCAGACAGAGTTCTCAAAGATTTGCCCCAGGGTCACAGATGCTGGCACCTACTGATGCTGGTTGTTCTGCTCAAGTGACAAGGACCCGGGGAGCTTTATGTCCTGGGATCTGGGCCATTCCTCTGCTGGGAAATGAGGCGTTTGGGAGCAACCCCATATAATACACAGAAACATTGTTTTCACCAAGGTGACGTAGTCACAAGAGTTTTTCACTCACTGCAAATTTTTAAAAGCATAATGTAAGATTTGATTTTGACTCTCTCCCTTCTTTTCTCCAGAATGAAATTTCCTGTAAGCTTTTCATTCAGCTCCAACTACAAGAGCAGGATTTTGAAGCCATGTTCTTTAACGGAACAGACCTAGATGATTCATGTCTATTCCTGCACTAACAGCTGTGCTCTCCAAGAAAATGATGGAAATACATTTCCTAGTGTTGTTGGGCCTTAATAATCTATGAAGCAAAATAAACATTGGCAGATAATAGTAATGACCCATCCTGCAAAATTATTTTACTACCTGCTTTTATGATGTTATTTTAATTTTTCCAGCTCAAGTAAACTATCTGCCCATCATTCATGGCTGCATTTAACCTTTGCTATCTGTAAAATTCATAGCATATTATTGGGAGGAAGGCACCTGGCTTTTATAGACAGTAGTTCTACTACCACAATATTTAATTAGCATCTCTGAAGCACACTAGTGCTGGCAGAACAGCATATTCAAAAAAAGAACAGCATAAATGACACTTCCAGGAATATGTACTGTTCATTCAGATTTATTAAACTAAAAGTTGATGCATTTTAGGCAATTTTATATCAAAGCGTTAACAGATATGAACTCTGTGTATTGTAAAATGACCAGCATGTTCAGAAGTATAATTTTGTTATGTATTGCACACCAGTGTTTCCAAAATGAAACTTCATATAACCCATCAGTACTAAAATAGAGGACTCACTAAATAAAGCACTCAGCTTATCTACTTATTGTAGTAAGTGTGCTTTCTCCTATGTTCAAAGGATAAAATTTAACACTAGCACAGATGCAGGACAAGGCGGCTTTCTAGCATTTTTCTTCCATGCCCATGGGCAAACCACATAAACCCCAGGGAAGACAGTGAACAACCTCAGAAATCCTCTAAGAGCTTGTCAATGCACAGCTCGTGTAAGAACATTCTAGCTGTGTGCCTTTAGACACCAATGGTTAAAACAATCCATTTGGTGCAGACTGTTAGTCAAGTATGTTCATACACTGGTAGGCACCGACTTCTACGAAGCTGCAGGACTTAGCTATGCCGTTACAAGTATATTTATATTGACCTAACTGGTGTCATTCTGAGAGGTACAGTAATTTACGCTGTAGGAATAAAACCATGCCGTAACTGAAAAGTTCAACTTATACAATCCCTGCACGTAGACTAAGCCAAAATAAAGCCGTCCGGAGCCGCATCTTAGCTTGATATTGGCCTTCCCCCTCCACTCCAGTAACACATCTCAAAATATGCTTTACAGGTAGAAATGGCAAGCAGGTTGCTAAAGCTGGCCATGTCAACATCACCTATACAGTGCTTAGCTTTAATTGCTTTTTCAGAGCTATTGCATTCACTGAGGAATACAGAAGGAATTAACAAGTACGAAAAGCCCGTACTGAAGACAAAGCACATCTGGCTCATCTCTATGTTGTAAATCTGTGAGGTAATATATGGCCATTTCAGCTATTTCTTTTCAATAGTTGAAAGAATTTCTCCTGTCAGACTTCAACATTAGCCTGAAAAATGTGCACGAAGGATATTTCTTTCATTTGGCTACATAAGTCAACACGAAACAGAACTTAAATTCACCATGCTTATGAACTTTTTTGGTTATACATACCTGGTTTCCATCAATAGCATAGTCATACTTGGTTGCATACACTTTTCCCACAGATACGGCAATAGCGTAAGCAACAATTGCAATGGAAAAGGAGGCTGCTATCATCTGGGAAAACAAGCTGACATCTGGAGGTTCAGGAGGCAAAAATCTAGCATTTAGAAAATATGTTAGTGTTATCAACTTTGACCAAATTCTGTTCTTACTAGAATAGTCAAGGAGTTTGAGGCAGAGGCATACAGATTGCTTATAATATGACGTGTAATGTTTCAAGTTAATAAAAAGGTGGAAACAGCCCACTGACATACAGAACACGCTTATCTAGCTCACCATAGCCCAAATCCTGTTGCTATTAGTCAGCAACAAAGCTTCCATTGTTCTCAGCCTGACTGAGATTTGGCCTTATGATACCAAAGTGAAAAAGTACATTTTTTTAAGCATTGAATAAAGGATGTATTGAATAGTATGCTCAATTACATAAATATGTTAATGGCACTTCATACTATTGTTAACATACTTCTTCAGAAGATCTCAAAAACATTTTATCCCCTACTGTGTTTCCACAAATTTTAATTAATCAAGCCCTGAATACCAAATGGAATGTGAAGGTTACTACTGTGAAGTGCTCTGAATATTTCAAGTGAAAGTCTACCAGTGGAACCCTGAACATCCGTGCTCCTACAACTACAGAAGTGACAAGACTGACTGGGATAACAACTGTGGCCTGAATATGAACCACAGTGGGATAACTCAGCTCTACAGAAATTAAATCCATGTAGAATTTAATTATTAAAAGTCCTTTAGTATTTTTTCTTACATTATCCATAGTCATATATTTACTTCATGAGGCAAGTAGATGTCCCTAAGCCCATTTTCCTGATGGAGAAAAGCTAGGCAACATATTTAGGTGTCACAACTGACAAAGCCAGAAGTAAACCGCGGAAAATCTCCAGCTCTGAGTTCTAAACTCAGGCTGCAGCTCTGAATATCTTCTTTATCTATTTTCTCTTACTACTGTCCTTTTGTAACCAATTAAAATAATACCTATTTCCCAGAAAGCAAAGACACTCACCCACTTGGAATGCTCTTTACAATGCCTGCATTGTACTTTTTTTCCAAATCAGCAGCATATGAAATGCCAGTGGCTATTATTGTCTGTAATAAAATAAAACAATGGTTTTAATACCTTAAGAGTTCTTGCCTTCCTGTAGCTAGCCCCATGTATTTTATCTGTTATCAGTTTTTATTATGCTCCTTTGCTTACCAAAATAACTTCTATCGGTATAGGTATAGGTATCTTGTGTTTGAACCGATCATTTATTTCTTTAACTACAACGCAGACAAAAATGGTGAGGAGTCCAGCAATAAGATCCGCAATGTTGGTGGTACCAATTTTTTCAAATGTTTCAATAAGAGTCTGAAAAATAAAACTGACAACATAAAACATGCCCATGTCCACACACTCATGAGAAGATCCAGATGCATGAGGTTTTGGAGAAGGCCAAGTTACTTCTTTGTTGAGGCCTGGAGGAGCCTGAGGATAACGTACTATCGAGGTGCTAGAGAATTAGTGAATGAATTTAGTGGTGAATTTAACTGAAAAAGTGTAACTGCAAGAATTTTCCACACAGACGGCTTCTGCTTCCCAATTTCGGAAATTAATACTAAGTAAGAAGAGCCAAACCCCTACCTGTATTTTATCTTTACCTCGTCTTGGAGCAAGGAAGCAAAGATCTATAGCTTCTCCACTTTGTTCACACAGCAAGGGAGATCCTCATTTTTCCATTCAAAAGACAGCTAGCAGACCCGTGGGCAAAACTGTGGTTCACTACATGCCCGGTACGTACGGGCTGCGGATTACGTGCTTCCTGCTTCCACTGGTAATATCCAGCGAATGAGTATGAACATGTGGGTCCCATCAGGCTGTGGAGAATCTTTTGCTTGAGAAAAGCAGTCGCTAAACCTCACTTTACGGTACATTGACCCTCCTCCCAGCAGAGTTCAGTCCCAGGCCGGAGGATTCTCACAACTGGGCTGCAACAGGGAGCTCCCTTCTCTACCCTTGCTACGCTCTTGCTTGGTCCTACTGTTTATTACAAATGAGTGTGCAGAGAAAACATGAGAGGCTGATTCCAGGAAAGCTACAAATACACCTCTGTCCTCCTCCTAGGCATCAGGGTAATTCTCACTTGCAGCCTGTCTCCAAGAAAATTTAAATATTCCAAGCAGATTGAAGTAGCTTTACAGAACAATCCAGTGGAAGAGAAGTTAGAAACAGATTTATTGCATCCTGGTTAGCTCCCCAAATACTGAGCTGTCAGCTTCAAGGCAAGGGGAGGGTTGCAGCAGCAGTATCGCTACTGTCGTTCTGGGAAAACTTGCGTCTGAAATAAAATATCTACGCACTTAATCAGATAATGTATTTTAATCTAAAGAAGAAGCTTTCCTGAAATACTGAACCAGATGCCTTTCTTCCGGTGACTGAAGCCATTTCTTGCCTGTTGTGCTGCTTACACCATGGATCCCATTCTTACTGACTGTCTCTCGCACTGCCCCACTTCACCGGGGAACAGTTACTTCCTCACTTTCAGTTGTGGATTCTGCTAATGTCGGATGCTTAGTGTTGCAGTTTGTTAAACACCACTTCTGGGGCAAGTCCAAAACTTGCTAAAGCCGACACAGCAAGTCACTGGTTGAGCAGACCAGAAATCACAATTGCTTTGCTCTACATACATCTGCAAACACATTGACTTGGCTCACCTGCAAGAATACAGAAGCTGTGAGCTTTAACCTGAAAAGTCAGCATTCCACTCGAGCATGCAGGAGCTGGAAGAACCATGTAATTCCTTTTCAAAAAATACTTTTTAATAAATGTACCACCCTTCAATAAATATAAAAAATAGAGCTAGAAAATCTTGCTGCATTAATGAGTCCATCACCCTGACAGATCTGCTCTAAGGTCTATTAGACAGGACTTTGTCTAATCTAATTTTCCTGAAAAGGCCCATAACATACTTTTTTTTTATTTCAAATAGTCTACTAGATTTTTTTACTAAATTTTACCTTGCTGTTATAGTTATGTTCATCCTGTTATTGCTAATCTAGATGTCTAACGTATTTTTGAGAGTCTGGTTGTCTAAACTGACATCTGTAAATACATATTTTTGTCTAGAACAGCCTCCTTTAGAAATCTGTTATCTCAATGTAAAGTGCTATGGAAGAGCTAAAATACTATGAACCTGAGTAGTTTCATGCAGAAGTCAGTGACAAAACTCTCAATAATTTTCCTAGGAAAGGAGACTATTCCATAATATGAGACCTCCAGGAATTCAGTATTTATGTAATTTGTCCAAGACAGTTTTCTGTTTGATCATTTTTCTCCAAGATCAACAAAGGGAGTTGTGACAGCAACATTTAGCCTCACCTTAGCTAACCTGGAGGTACCTGGCCGCAGGGTGGGAATCCACATCCTTCTTTAGGCATTCACAAGTACAGCTACAGCGTGGAATAAAGAACAATGCCCTTTACCAGAATGACCTGCAAGAGGCTCGGGACTGCTCAGCTTTGAGAGATGATCCAACAGTGTTAAGAAATGAGAAAACATACTTCCAAATAAGCTGGAAAGCAAGGGATGGGACGGAAAGTTGTCTCCAGAAGTGCCACCCTAGAGAAGAAAAACTATTTTGCTGGACATTTAAATTTTATGTGAAAAACTGCTCTGCCTGAAAAATACTTCACGATAGCAATTAGACTTTCTATCTGGGAACACCAATAGCAGCTACTTAAGAGCCCCACAGCTATAAATGAACAGCTATAGACCTTAATGAGAGTGAGAACTAAATGAATCGCCCTATGCTTACCACTCTATATATGAAACATTCCTGTATGAAATGGAAGAAGGTAAACAGTTATATAAAAATTCTAGCATAAATCCACAACAGATTAGAAGGGCATACTTACATATATTATGGAAAGGACACCATTATAGTTTTTAGTTGAAACATTTAGGACTATTTTCAATTGTGACACAAGCACTTGGAAAGCGGCTGCAGTTGTGAATCCCCCAACTAGTGGATCTGCAAGGTACCTCACAATGAAACCAATCTGAAGGACTCCAAATATTACCTGAAAAAGTCATGAAGAATAACAGCTTGCTGAACAAAAAGGTACACTTTGATTTGGTGATCCCTTATGTTTTGTTCTTTTCTCTTTGTAGTTACAGGGTCTTAGGAGCATCTTCCCCCACTGCAGCCTAGCTGTAGCTTAGTATCATACCATCCAAGGAAACAAAGGAGACCTGAAGAAGTGTGTAAAAGGATGCTCCAGGATATGTACCATTAGTGCTTATTTTCATGCAGGTCTCTCGGTCTGCAATCGCAGGGCTATTCTTCTGCTGTCTGTGCTCCCAGTAAGGCTGCCATAGACTCTGCCCAAGATAATAAGAATAATCCTCCCCCAAATCTCTTCAGAGTTTGAGATGACTTTCCTTCAGTTTTGTGGTTTACTACAGGAAAATGTCTTAACTGCCCTAGGAGCTGTTTCCATTGTGTATGTTTTCCCATTAAAATTAAAGCAGTATCAATCTCGTGCCTTCAAGCCAACTATTTTACCTGTAAAATTCCAACCAGAAATGTGAGGGTACTAGCAATCAGCACTCTCTGCGCATCTCTGGATTCCGTGTCTATCAGTGTGCCAGTACCATTACTCCCTGTAGCATTACCGGCCTCTATGAGAAAATTATCATCAGGGGCCATGCTCAATACCACCGATCCCACCATCAAACTGACTACAGGGAACGGGCCTGTAATGACAAACAGAAACACTGAAGTTTAATATACATCCAAAAGAAGCATTTGTCAGACTAGACAAGCAAACTCTAAATCAGGAAATCCATTTCACACTTTAACTGAGGCACATTAGTACTATTAAGGTGCCAGGAGCCACAGGCACGGCAGACATGACACAAAGATACGATTCCTTCCTTAAATAACTTACGCTCTACACACAAGTGCAGTTTCACACTTTGCTTAAGCCAATTCAGGGCTGTACGAAGGTCAAAAGGGGCAGGAATCATCTCCCTTGTATCAGCATGACAACTAGACAAAAGAGAGCACTGATCCATCTGAAAGCAACATTTTTATTTATTTATTTATTTTTCCATGGTTATTTTTCAGCTGATCCAGACTGCCATACAGCTGCATGGTTAGGAATGACAACACCACGGTGGTGGCAGGAACATGCACCAACAGGTAGGACCACGTCTTTTGGCAGTAGTGTAATATTACATTGGCTAAAGATGACTGAAACTATAATTTGGGCAAGATATAGAGAGAGTAAGTGATCATTGTGTAAGTAACACACCATCCAAAATAATCACATTTGTTACAGCTATTTACTAAAATTATGCAGAAAAGGAAAATGTCACGAAATGTCTTAAAGAAGGGTAAGTTAATTTTACAGATACCTTAGATGGTACCTCATGTATAAGAGTATTGGAGAAAGCATAAAAAGGAGTGTTTGATAATGTAGGAAACAGAAATATCAGCACAAGTAGAAGTGAAAACTCAGACCTGAATAGCAAACGTGAGCTGATTAGTAGGGTAGGAAGAGGATGACAAAGTGGAGAGAACATACAGAAGTATTTTATGCAGCAGAGAAGAAGGGTGATGAAAAAAAGGTAATATCATGCCAAAGCTTTGGGAAGGGAAAACAATCTATTCTTAGTAGATATGAACGAGGAAAGACTGTATTTTTTGAGAATGAAGAAGAAATTCCAGTAATCAAGCTGTAATGTGAACTTAAAATGTGAAAACTGACAGGAAATACACGCCATATTTTAAAGGAATTACTCAGAAAGAATCAACAAGGTTTACCCATAGCCTTGATGGGAGGACCTAGAGCGAGGCTGGAGTGGACTCACAGGTTCTGGGTCTCTGCGACAGGCAAGAAGATGATATTGTCCATAGTGATCAAAAAGGATGCAGCAAGGAAGGCTTGTAGAGAAGACTAGAAGAGCTCTGTTTTAGCCATCTTGAGCTTTAGTCGACAGACAACACGTCTGTTCACACTGCCTACTGAGGCCTTGACCTTGTAACTCCTTGCATAGAGTGCAGCCAAAGATGAGATTTAAACTTCAGCATAAATGCAAGCCAAAAGCATGCACGGGCACAATGGAAGTTAGCTATTGTGCACAATTGCCCGTACAGAGAAGAAATAAGCCTTAAGTCCCCTAAACCCACCGATATTAATATTCGGAACCAATGTGGTTCAGGAACTAGTTATCTTGTATGAAATATGAATGTCCACAGTAAGGATTAATATTTTGCAATAGATAATTCACTGTAACTTGAACACACGCAGTTACCAACTGAGATGTGCTTTGATGTTCCCAGGAAGAAGTATGTCAGGATGGGAAAAAAGGCAGAATAGAGACCATATCCAACAGGAACTGCAACCAGCAAAGCATACGCCAAACCTGAAATGATAGATCATCAAAATGTCACATTCAAAATCTCCAACAAACTACTATGTTGTCTAGAATAGCCTTCACAAAAGATTTACTCTTTTGGCCAGGCACAATTCCGAATGTATTTTGTCTGTGAAGTTGCAGGCACGTATGTGAGTATCAATGACTGTAAATGATTGCATATCCCAAACCTGGATGAGAAAGTACTGAAAGATGTTCTTGTATTTGTAGAAGGTAGCACAAAATATAGGCTCAGATGTGAAGTTTAAGTGGGGGAACATCATTGCAAGATGGAATGAGAGAAAAGAAGGATTGAGAGAAAAGAGGGATATGTCAAGTGTTCTAGTTATAGAAAGAAATTTCAAGCATAGACTCTGAATTACTGCACTACAAATACGCTTCAGTCTCTTCAGCTCTTCTGAAAATCATACCATTATTTTTCAGTACCAGCTTATAAACTCAAAAACCAAATCACACAAATCTGAGAGTTCTGATCCTTAGCATCATCTTCCTTTGTTCCTTTCATTCAAGCTGTCAAACCAACAAACAATGAAGAAAAATAAAAAGTTGCCTCCAGTGCCATATTCTCGTTAGCTCCCACTGCAGGATGTAATATTCTCCTTCAAAGATCCCACCAAAAAATGCATCAGCTCAGAACAATTGAACTCCTGGTCATACTGCTGTGACTGATGGGAGGACTGCAAGCAACAGACACAGCGGCTGGGAGTTAGGGACTATGGGGACTCCAGGGTACCCAAAGTATCTTTTTTTGGCAAATGTTTTGGCCAACTTTCCCTGTACTACATGATCTAGAAATTTGGAATACATATTTTTAAAATTACATCTAGATTTAGATTTACGCCATTTTTTTTCCTAATACATAGGTGGGAGACCAAACAGTGTATTTCAAATATCAGTTTTACAAGAGGAATCTAATTGTGAGAAAATCATGCCTCATTGAAAAAAAAATAAATGAGGAGGTTACAGTAAGAGCATAATATATGTTAAAAGCCATATGAAAAGTCCATCTAGAGCGGTCCAGGCAGATGAGTCCTGTAACTGTGGCACTACCTTGAACAGAGATCTTCCAGCTCTGAGATACTTTCTCCAGAGCAGTGGATAAATCACTTTGTTATTCCTTCAGGTCATCCTCCGCCTGCGGCAGAGGTTTGCAATGCTTTTTTTTCTGCTGATCTGCGCCTCCCTAGCACGCTCCAAGGGAACAGGCAGCAGGGAATACTTCTGGCTAATTAGGAGTGGGTAAACTGCTTTCTTTGTTCCCATCAGGAATCTTTGCCCCCTTGTGCAAACACTTCATTTCCATTGAGGGAAACCGTGCGGCTGACGCAGCTAACTTAATCTCTCCCAGTCCTGAAAATTGTGAAAATAGTGTAACACTACTACTGATATTAAAGAAACGAATATGCTGGAACATGTCAGGGTTATAGCTAGTTTTGTCTTTCAAAGCAGACCTTATCAGCTGTCTCAACCAGACTAGTTCTGCCCTTTAAGTCTTCCTTACTAGCTTATTTTAATTTATTTCTGCGATTGTTCTATCTGATCATCTACTGAATGCTTTCCTAACAAATGGAATAAGAAAAGATGGAAAACACAATATTGCAAGCTATGGACTGCATATATCCATCATGTTTGTCAATTTTTTTAATGTGAACATGCCACCACCTCCTTGGAGGTTGTTTTCTGCAGATACCCAAATAATCTCACGGGCCACATTTTAAAGGAGAGTAGGTATCAAGTTTGCATTATATTGAGGCAATAAGTAGTTTTGTAGGCACCGCAGGAGACCTATAGGCTCAAATAACCAAGAAAGAGAAATAAGACCACATGAACTGTCTGATCTATTTAAATACCTATTTTAAATATCAGAATGAATGCTCTTTGAGTAAATGCTTGGGAATAAAGTTAAATACATCTTGACAGCATATCAAAAGAAATTTAAATCTTCTAGCCAAGTGGAGGAAGAAAACTGAATAAATTAAACCCATCAATTATTTATTGAAAAATAGTACCTAATATCTAGTATTAAATAACAAGCTTAGATTTGTAATTCCACCTGTGTAACATTCCTGTGAGTGGCCGGTTCCCTTACAGAAGCGCCCTCGAGAACGGAGGGCCAATGTGTCTGGCTTTACCTTGCAGGGTGGCGACGAGGCCGGTGCTGACCCCTGAGATGATATGACCAGCCACTCTTTCACCCGGTAGTTGGGGAGCCATTCTAGGATGGGCAGAAAGGTCTTGGCAATCTGAAAGACCCTTTTTCTTGAACACCTGGGAGAAAACAAGTGATAAACATACCCCCATGGGGCTGCGGCTGGAAAGCCCCCAACGACCCTGACCTGACAGAAAGCCAGAGAGATGCACATTTTAAGAGGCAAAGATTGGCACCGGCGTGTCTCCCAGGCAGGGGCACGCACTGGTGTCAGAAGTGCTGTCTCCTGGGAGAATCACAGAGCGGCTTCAGTTTGACAGGACCTATAGATCACCCAGTTCCAACCCCCTGCCATGGG